GGGCTGGGTGGTCGCTTGTTTAGAACATCCTTTGGGGTGGGCATGTTGGTCGAAGACCTCCTGTTTGGAACATTCCTCGCGGGTGGGCAAGTGTGAAGACAAAACCCACCATGACTAAGGCCCTCGGGCTGGGTGGTCGCTTGTTTAGAACATCCCTTGGGGTGGGCAGGTTGGTCGAAGACCTCCTGTTTGGAACATTCCTCGCGGGTGGGCAAGTGTGAAGACAAAAACCCACCATGACTAAGGTCCTCGGGCTGGGTGGTCGGTTGTTTAGAACATCCCTTGGGGTGGGCAGGTTGGTCGAAGACCTCCCGTTTAGAACATTCCTCACGGGCGGGCAAGTGTGAAGACAAAACCCGCCATGATTTAAGGCCCTCGGGCTGGGTGGTCGCTTGTTTAGAACATCCCTTGGGGTGGGCAGGTTGGTCGAAGACGTCCTGTTTGGAACATTCCTCGCGGGTGGGTAAGTGTGAAGACAAAAACTCACCATGACTAAGGCCCTCGGGTTGGGTGGTCGCTTGTTTAGAACATCCCTTGGGATGGACAGGTTGGTCGAAGACCTCTTGTTTGGAGCATTCCTCGCGGGTGGGCAAGTGTGAAGACAAATTCCTCGCAATGAAGACCTCATAGCCAGGTGAAAAAACATGGAGAAAAGAGCACCGGGATGAGCGCAACTTCAAAACCAGAGGACAAGCACAAAAGCTCGAGTGTAAAAGAGAAGTCCAATGGCGCAGAAAATCCATCATGTTTAAGGCCACTAGGCTGGATGGTCGCATGTTTCGACCACCTCCAGGGGTGGGCATGTGTTCAAAATTTTAAAATCCATCATGTTTCCGGCCACGAGGCTGGATGGTCGCATGTTTGGACCACCTCCAGGGGTGGGCATGTGTTCAAAAATTTAAGATCAATCATGATTAAGGCCACGAGGCTGGATGGTCGCATGTTTCGATCACCTCCATGGGTGGGCATGTGTTCAAACATTTAAAATTCATCATGTTTAAGGCCACGAGGCTGGATGGTCGCATGTTTCGACCACCTCCAGGGATGGGCATGTGTTCAAAAATTTAAAATCCATCAGGTTTAAAGACCACGAGGCTGGATGGTCGCATGCCCCGACCACCTCCAGGGATGGGCATGTGTGTATGTGTGTATGTTACGATTAAATTATTCAAGTGAACGTGAGGAAAACATACAAATATCGTTTAAATAACAAAGAATGGACCGACTAATGAAAGCGTATTATTCATATATCAAAGTCTGCATCAATCATACTCTGAAGTTCGCTCTGGTTCTTCCATCGAGGAGTTATGACAAAGGCAATAAGTCGAATTATTAAGAGCATTATTGATAATCGAGGCAAGTCAAAAACAAAATATAACCATTTCACGAATATTGCATAGTTCATTGGAGTACATAGTTCAGATTCAAAACAGACAATGGAAAATATAAAGCTAAATCTAAGGAGGAGGAGCTGCGGTGGAATCGGCATTGCTCTGATTAGCGCTAGGATCGGGCGGATGGCTGGTCCCGGAGGTCGAGTCGCAAGCTTCATTAAGTGGACGCTGGCGAATGGACTCAGTCAGCACGGCCAACATCGAAGCTGGGGGAGTTAGACCATCGGGCAGAGCATAAGTTTTCTTCAAGATATCTGATCGAGCCAGAGTCCTTTCAAGTAGCCCCGACCACCACTCGTGCTCGGAGGGTAGGCTAGGATCGCCCTGGAAGCTAGAAGGAACCTTAGGCAAGGCCTCCCAGATAAACCCAGGGTCGAGCTGCTCGAAGTCGTCCTCGGCGATCTGCTCGCCGACCTTCTGGAGAGCGAACTGAAAACAGTCCACCCCAAAGTCTTGCACCTCCTTCAAAAATTGCGGTGACCGCGTATAATCGGCCACCACTTGTTCATGGAATTTGCGGAGGAAAAGCTGCCCAGTTGTTGTGCCCCACATCATTTGCCGAGCTCGAAGAGCTGCAGCATCAGCGTAGCGTTTGCATTGGCTGGCATGGGCAGCCCTTTCTTTGGCTAAGGTAGCCTCCAGCTCAGCTCGAGCAGCCTCTGCCTGCACCCGAGCAGCCTCCGCCTGCGCTCGAGTAGCCTCTGACTGCACTCGAGCAGTCACCGACTGCGCTCGAGCAGCCTCTGCTTGTGTTCGAGCAATTCGCTCTTGCTCGAGCGCAGTCTCCTTCACCATCAGCGCAGTTTCCTTTTCCGCCACCACAAACTCCTTGGCCGCGAGGGCGGCTTCTCTCTCCGCGAGAGCCTTATTCTTTTTGGCGAGCTCCTCATCAAGGGACTGAACCTTGACTTCGAGCTCGGCCTTCTGTTCTGTCTGGGCCTCGCGGAGTTTGGCGTTGTGCTGCACGAGGGTTGAGTTTTTATCTTGCAGGTAGCCGATGGTGCCCTCGAGGCCCTTTATCGACTTACCTGAGCTGTCTCGGGCCTCCTTGGCCAAGGGCAAAAAGTCGACCAAGCCCTATCAACAAAAACGATA